GACGTTTCGACGTCTCGAATGATCCTAACTTATTTCCGTGAATATAGATACATATGGCTGTATGTGAGTATGTGCATACGTATGTATGTATGTGTGATATTTAGGCCCATTGTGCCCTTGGTTGTTTACCCGTAAAGTCTGGGCTGGACTAATCCTTTAAGTAAAAGTTGTACGCTGTGCAACACTATAATTTAAGAAATGCTTGTATTTGTATAATAATTTGAGATGGCCGAGAAGTACATCTTCTAGGAAGTAGTATATATTTTAGGGTAGAATCGAGACTAACATTTTTTTAAATTTAATATATGTAGGTAATTTGCTTTTTAATTTTTGAATTCTTTAAAAAAGTTCACAGCTTTTTGACTCTTCATTATGAACATTTACTTTGGAAAGCGTGGTTTCTAGTACATTAAAGCCACAGTTTCGATATGTTTAAAATTATGATATGATTTGGCCGTAACTTCAGCCTTATTTCTATTTTGAATACACACATACATACATAGGTATGTAAGCATGTACCATATATTTGGTATATTTGGATATGTATGAACATTCAGAGCATTTGAAATCAGTATGAAGACAGAAATCCTGGAAATATCAAATAATTAATAAAACTTCAATACACTGGAACTAATGATTTAATAAAAAAAATTAGTTTATGTACATATACCGTTTGACGTTCCCACCCCAAAATGGTTTGGATTTCTACGAGCGTTAAGAACGCCAAAAGTCTGTATGCCTCACTGCTTTATATGTTGCCTACAGAGGTCATTGCAAAGGCAACAACAAAGCGGTTGTTGCATAAAAAATCCATGCACATACAAACGAATACACAAACATATCCGTAGATAATTTGTACACATTTTACTGAACATAAAATTCCAAAAACCAAAAACAAATGTAGGCAGCATAAAAAGAGAGAAACCGAAGGAGATGTAGCATAAAAAAGAGACGTGCAAATTCCGACACAGACAATTTAAGAAATATACAAAAATGAAGAGCGAATATGCTGCTGTGTTAAAAAATGTATGTACATACGTAGTACATACATACCTGTGGGTATAGCTAATTATCACTTTCATCAGAGTTTCTTGCTGCTGCTTAGATAAGCGGGCGACGTCAACAACAGCGACGCGATACAGCGAACAGCTGACCATTCTCAGCTGAAATTTACAGCAGTAGACAGAGCGGTGAAGTCAAAGAGAAGAGCATATATACGTTTATGGTGTGAGAGCTTAAGTGCCTTAATAAGACAGATTGTGAGAGAGAGAGAGGGTGGCGTGTTGATAACGGTACGCTCAGCTGTGGATAACAGTGAATTGTGTATCTTCGAGATACACCGGCCGGTGATTTCTCTGTCACTTAATGCGTGGCAATATATTTTTTATTGCACTCGTAGACCGAAACGACGCAATAGTACGAGCACAACATTGCGAACAGCTGTTTTACGCAGCTATGTTGCGGGCTATGTTATACATACATACTTATGTGGATGAGTGCCTTGGCAAATGTTGTTGGGGATCTATTATGACATTGAGCGCTTATGTTTACGTCTGCTTGACCGAGAGCGTATCATGGATTCTCAGAGAATTCTGGTTTTAATGTGTGATTCTCTACATAATTATATTCACATATTTACGTGTTGATATACAAGATCACTATATATTTATATACAATACATAAATACATATATATAAAAGGGCACGCACGCAAACTTTCGTCGGTTGGCATTTTTCGCTTTGTCAATAGATGTCCAATTCCTAAAGGTCTAGCGTTAAGTATGCTTCTACGCATGTGTTTGTTTCTCTCGTACAAATATATGTACATATGTATGTATGCACATGTGTATGTATTTATGATGCATACTTAGGTATTTTTTTGGTATGCACATACAATCCAAACATATGTATAATTTTGTACTGCGTAAATATCTGAAAATAGGAACTCGCTAATGTTTTATGCTACACAAGTAGCAATATTAGATACTTGTATATGTATGCACATATGTATGCGTAAATGTGTTAATAGGCAAGTGAGCATAGCTATTTTTGTTTTCAGCGCAATCTTTGAGCATAAAAAACGATGGCGTCATTACAAACATTTTGCTCGACGATTTCTATTGATGACTTAACTATGTATGTCGCCTCATCATCACTTGCTTGGGTTTTTCAAATTCGGTTTTACGGTGCTTTTCAAACATAAGTACATAATATTTTTACGCAGAATTATAGACTACTGTTAAAATTATAAGCCTTAATACACAAACTCCTAAGTACATTTCCATGAGAGATTCATAGTTCTAAACTTATAAAGAAATATCGCATTAAGAAAGATCTAGCGAAAATCTTACACAGAAAAAAGGGCAACCTCATTAAAAAACTGAGAAGTTAAAAAAGACATACACTGGGTAAAAATTCTGCTGGGTTGCACCGCTGACAGATGAAAGTATAATCGTTCTATGTATATGTGGATACTGGGTCCCGATAGTATGTATATACGAACTCTGCGCACTCTGCAAACACTGAATACCGCTCACTATTAGGAGGGTAAAACATGGAAGAACTAAATATTCTACTTTGAATTTTTTTTTTGAGTACAATCATATATCAATATATTACATATATACGTGGATATTTTGAATATAGATGCAGATTTTTTTGGTACTTAAGAGGAAATAACTCTTGAAAGAATTGCGCTCAAGGTCTATATGGTACTGACGTTCTTTTTGTTAAATTCATTCATTAAAAATATAAGGAATAACCTCTTTATACGCTTGCAATATAGACATAGAGATAGATATAAAGTTTTATATAAATGATCAGGATAACGAGACGAGTTGAAATCCGGGTGTCTGTCTGTCCGTCCGTCCGTCTGTCTGTGCAAGCTGTAACTTGAGTTAAAATTAAGATATCGTGATGAAACTTGGTACATGTGTGGGGACGAGTCCATAGATGGGTGTAATCGGACCACTGCCACGCCCACAAACGTCAAGAAAACGAATAAAGCGCCATAACTAAGCACTAAATTAAGATATAGACTGTAATTTGGCATAGGGGATCGTTGTGGCTAGGGGCACCTGTGGACTAAAAATTTAGAGAAAATAAGCGTGGCCCCGCGCTCTAAAGGTTTAATGTACATATCTCTCAAACCATTCAAGCTTTAAAAACCCAATTCGCTCAAAACAATTCTCTTAAGCACCCGTACTGGCACTGACAATAGCCCCGTCCACTCCCCATATAACGGTACTGTAAAAAACTACTTAAAGCGCGATAAATCAATAACTAAATACGCCATTAAAATGTCTTATGAGCTCAAGCACAAGGCTGTCAATCCCTATGGGCCAATACCATGGCATTTTCCAAGCAGAAGTATTCGCCATCATCTCATGCGCAGAGGTCATGCTCAGGAGAATAACTATTAATCAGCATGTAGTAATTTTCAGTGCCAGCGACCTGGTCCTCACCGACGGGAGCAGAGCCGTTTTTCCAATAGGCCTTCACACGATAAAAGGGGAACTGAGACATTATTTTGCCAGAAAAATTGTCAAGTCTCTTTGAAATATTGCCTTTACTATTATTCCATCTCTATTTTCAAAGAACTTATCTACAGGGAATTCATACTTTATTGAAATTAACACTGAATTCAATAAACGTTGAGATCGGTGCTGTAAGCATATGCATAACAATGAAATCATAAGCTTCACGTAGACATCCTTATAAATTCTTAAAAATAATCCACATTAAATCCTGGGAGAAGATTAAACTCTCCAGATTTTAAATATAGTTTGGACTAATGGAATCAAAAAAAGAGAACAGTGCCTCCTTGAAAATAGCTTGAGTCCACTTTTTTACCACTTACGGAACACTGCATAAATCTCACAGAAAATGCTTATAAATCATGGCATTCCACATAAAGAGCTGAATCGATCAATCCAAGTCAATGCACAACTAATAAATAGTCACACAACGACTGGAATTTGTTTCAAGACTACGGGTCAAGCAATTGTGAACAACAGTCTAGAATAAATGAAAACATATGCCAGTAAAATTGCACTACTTTTTCTGAAACCCCAAGCAACCTTCCTCCTTGTAGATGTCGGTATACCTATGTATGTTACATATGTTTGTTGGCACAATAAAATCACATTTATGCCATATTTAAGTTTTAAAAATTTACCGAGTACAGTTGCACTTCCAACTTCTCAAACCATATGTACTCACACAGTAGGAGTATCTAATGATTTGGTGAGTTTGCAGGCACAATCGGAATGGCAGGTATTTTGGTGAACAGCTGTAGACGCCAAAACCAAGGAAGCAATCACAGTTTGCCATACAGTTGTAAGAGCAGCACTGAGAGAGCGAGCAAAAAGAGCGCTGGTTACATTTACTATTCGTGTTCAGGTTGCTGTGAACGTCAGTAGTTGTGGTATTAGTGTTATGAGCATACTAACCGGAAATTATACGAATCAGGTGGTGTAGAGAGCGAGTCGATGTTGACGTGAGTGAACGGCGATTACAAATTGATGGGGGTATGATTTGGAATCCACCAAGTGTTGTTTACATTTTCATGATTTCGTATTTTCGTGTTTACGTCGGCCTAGCCACGCCGCTGCTGCAATCTGGCCAGATGTTTGACCTATGTTTAATTTACACTCACTATCTTCTGCTGAAATGCATTACAATGTCTTTTGGTTTCACGACTGTGAGTGCCGCTTAGCTGCTGCTGCGATTTTTATTTCAGCACTGCCGTTCGTGTTCGCTTGTTCCGTTTTCTTTTGCTTACGTTGCCATCGTCATCAATAGCGTGCGCGTCCGCGCCCGCAACGTTTTCGCCGCCGCCGCCGTCGCTCTCGCCAGCGCTTTCCAACATAGCTTTGTTGCTAGATATAAAGTGAACTGCAGCGGCTGCGGTGCGTGGCGGTGCAGGGAGCTGCCGCTGAACGACGTAACAACGCAGCGCCGAAAACCAGCATACACATTCGACGAATTCAGTCGTTGATAGTCAACTCTCGTGTACGGACGATAATTGTTGCTTCGCAGCGCCAGCTAAAGCGAACGAAACTTAATCAAATTGATCAAGTATTGTGTGAGTGCCGCACCGTCAAGCGAGTAAATACGTGCCCAATTAAATAAGAAAACTGTTAAAATTGTTGCAAACACCTAAAGTGTTATAAATACGTTCTTAACGGTAGCGCTGACTAATCAGCTGACAATAGAACTAAATCGCAAGCAAATCCACGCAGCGCTTAAAAGCCAAGCAAGCCATTCCGCTGCACAGGGCGAGTAACTGTGCATTACTGTGTCGGCTTGATAAGCGAAAATGTAAATACTGTTGCGTATTGCCGGTTATGTGAAGTATGTCATACGCCGTCTAATTAAGTGCAAAAGGCAAAACCAACAACAAAAAATTAGAATTTCATTCAAATATCGATAAACTCAGCGCAGCATTCGATATTTACACCAATTCTTTGCACTATTCTCGTGTTCTTGTGTGTGTGAATATGTGGGTGTGAGTAGTGCAAAGTACCGGCATTCGCATTTGAGCTGCAATAAACAGTATTTGCGTATATGTGCATGTGGTCGTGGGCAGGTAAGCACTTATAGAAAAACAATAACAATATTGTGTCGTACACACGCTGGACTTCCGCTTTGCACGAGCTTCTTTAAATATAATTAAAACAAAAAAAATTTGTGAGCAAAAAAACAAAAAGAAAACGAGTGGCTTAACAACAAAAGCGCAAACAAGTGCAATTTTGTAGCAATTGCTGTCACATTTGCACAGTTGCCGAGCCGGCCGACAAGCGAAGGCGAATGTCGTAACAGCAAAAAACCCAAAACATCAAAAAAAGACTGCAATCAGCAAATAAGGCAATAGCAATAACAAAGCCGTAATAATTGTGCAAATAATACTTAGTGAACTTGAAAAATTCTTTCGCCTTCAGTGCAAAGAAAGTGAAAAAGTGCAAAACTCAAAAAAATAAACTCACTCGTGTTACGTGCATTTCCGTGAGGGTTAACCGAATTCTCAGCTGGAAATTTTGCTTTTTCGGAGTTTTTCAAACATTTTTGTTTTACTTGTGTCGTGTTTAGTGCAAAATTGTGTGTTTTTCGTGGCAAGAAGCAGTTTTCGAGCGCAAAGAATCTGTTGAACACAGACAAGATAAGAATAAAATCGGTGGATTATGCTTAGGAATAAGCCAAAACAGCACAGAACGCTTACGCCGAAACGAGTGGAGAATGTAGTTGCAGTGAGTGAAGCCAATGCGGCCGCCCTCCTATACGAATCCATACAAACGTCGTTGCCGCTGTCGTCCATACAAGAACCGAATATTAAAGATAAACTCATACAAAAGCATAACAAAAATATTGATACGAACTTTGGTGCACAAAAGATACTAAAACAACAACAGCAAGTGCAGAAAAATCTGAAAAGCATAAAGAATTTTAACTGTGGTACTGAAAGATCACAACTACCGACATTGACGCTCCTGACCGGTGTGGCAAACAAATTCTTTGGCGGGCGGAGTGTTTTCCCCGCATTTAGTTGTGCGTCCCCACTAACGGAACAATTCATTGGTGTGACAACTTTGACTTCGGCAATACGCTAAAGACTTGTGCGTTGAAAAAGCATAAGAGTTAAGCGACCCCGCGTGTGGGAGAGAGAAAAAGTCTCAAATAATAATATAAATATAATAGAATAATATAAAAAATGAATATAAAATACTTTTAAACTATATAGTGAAAGACAGTGTAATAACAAAAAATTCAAACGAGGCGATTACCTGCACACTGCAATCTTCGTGATAATCGATAAATTGTAAATGTAGTAGCTTTAGTGCAAGCTTTCGCATACGACAAAGCGTGTGTAGAAAAGTACAAAATTTATGTGGCGTTCATGAAATAAAGTGCAAAAAAGTTTAGCATAAAATTTTATATTAACAGAGAGTTAATTTGTCAATGGCGAAGAGGTTAGTTATAAGGAAGTTAAATAAACCGAAACCTTGAAAAACAGTTTGTGCAACTGCAAAAATACAGAAGCCGTAAAATAATAAGGTCCATGTACACATTATGGTATAGCAAATAGTAGGAAAGCGAGTAACAACTGTATAAAGAAAAGCGTTAAATAATAATTTATAACTCCTGTACTTATCAACAAAAACGTCTGTATGTATGTGTATTGTATGACGTATAGATAACAGACGTGAATACGTAATATCAAATTGAAAAGCAAATTTGAAAGCATTGTGTGAATTTTATAGTTCATTAGCAAAACCACAACCAAAACAAAACCGCTTATCTACGCCTTTGTGGCCGCGTTCTTGCTTGTTCTTCAAAAATTGTGGATTCTTCATCACAAATTTGTATGCGCTCGAGCATAAATAGAAATATTGTCGCGTAACCAACATGCGAAAGTCCTACTAAATTGCTATTAAGTTATAAACAAATACATAAATTACAAATATTTTGTTTCGGTGCAACGAAATTAGAAGAAAATATGCGATTTTTTAAAAATTTATATTGAAAAAGTGGCAAAAGCGAAGAGTAAGAGCTCATAAGTGCCAAAAAGGTGTTGATAAAATAAAGCAAAGAGTATGATAAATATGCAATAAATTATCGCGCTGCCAAGCAAAAGTGTGAACAGGTGTCTGTTTTTGAGAAAATTGCGAAAATAAAGGTAATAAAAAACGCTGAAAAACTTCAAATTGTGTTCAAAATTAAAAGTCAAGATCGCCGTTCATTCATTTTCTAGACATAAAGTTATAAACTTTCGCCCAACGTATATTAATTGGTCATTTAAAACGCCGACGTCATACAGTTTGTGTACGCGCGCATTAAATAAGAAAAAAGTGTTGTGCCCTCTGTACTTCTTTTCACACAATTTCTGATTTTCTTTTTTTTTCGGTTTGTTCGGTTTCCAAAATTTCGTAGAAGACAATGTCCACTGGTCGCCGTTTAGCCAAACGTTCAATAATCGGTACAAAAGTTTGTGCGCCAGGTCCGGATGGTCTCTGGTATTCGGGCGTTATACAAGACGTCAAGACGCCACCTACTGCCACGGTCACTTCTTCGTCGCTATTGACAGCGAGTGATTCTGCCGCAGCCAACAACAACGGTACAAATCTTACCGCCGACACTAAATATATAGTACGTTTCGATTTTAAGACACAAACCATGCAGCACAACTTGGACACATCGCCCTCATCGTCGTCCAAGTCGTCCGTTATAATGGAAGCACGTCGCACAGTTAGTGCACACATTAGTCCTGCGCAAGCTTTGCGTCGCAACGCTATGATTAAGGAGTTTCGCGAGTCGGATCTGATCGGTCCGGGTTTTCGTTCCATATTGGGTATACAATTGCAGCCGAGCCAACGGGTTTTTCTCACCCACAACGGACGTGAGACCTCGGGCGATGTCATCGCCCATGACGTGGAAAAGGATGAGGTTGTTGTTAAGATCACCACAATTGGAACTGAGGTGAGTAGTGCAATAAGTGGTTTAATAATATATGAAGTAAGTAATAATTCTTTAGTCTCCGGACGGACGAAAGTATTTCATATATTGTAATTGAAAAGCCTACCGATGCAACTCTGTCATGGTTTTGCTAAATACCTACAATTTCGATGGCTTTCAGCATAATTTCCTTCGTTGAATGCCATTTGCTTGTATATGTTTTCCATTTATTCATTTTCTTTTTGCCATAATTTCTTCTCAACCCCTGTTGTGTATCTTGTGCACCCTTGGAGAGGGAATGCGCGTTGCTTCGAGGTTGATACTGTCGTGTATGGGCTGTGTTGCCTCTCAACTCGTAGGGTTTTCTTTTACATTGGCCTTCTTTTCATCGTTTTTACCATTTCGTATTTGTTGTTCGTAAGTTTGTGTGGAAGAGCGCTTTTCACAAGTCCTCCTCTCTGCCACTTGGCTTTCGGCTCAAGTACGCGCATCTGCAACGGTAGTTGTATCTGTGTCTGTATTCGTAGCAGTGGCAAGTTCGAGGTATATACTAATATTGGGTAAGTATGTCAAGGTTAAGCGCATTCGGTAGGGTGGCGCATGCGAATTAGACCATGAGAGGGAGCCAAATGCATTCTACATACCCCAGTGACTGTACTCGTAGCAGTAGCGAATGTGAAAAAGATTCGCGAACTATGTCAAGTTTGTATATAAGTATATACTTGTGTATGTGCACCCTCCCCACTCCAATGTTGGCTGAAAGTTCTAGTATATGAATGATTTTTATGGACATTGTGTATTACAGGTAGCATTAAATTAGGTGCTGTGGATATAGCTTTGGTTCCATTTCTTAACTTTCTAGGTGCAAATAATGTCCTTTGGAATTATACTTGTAGAAATTTATTTCCGCTAAGATATCTCCCTTAATTTATAGACTGTTCCGCCTCTTCAAGATCAGGGCTACGTCACCTCAGATCTCACACCCTCAGACGTCATACAACACCTTAGTTGGTTTATGACGGGTTCAAGCTACTTTGTCGGTACTAGTAGTTTAATTATTGGAGTTTTTCCGCTGGCGAAGGGCCCGGTGTGAGTCCAATCTTGAGGATTCTAACTTAACCTATATGAGATATGTATTTGCAAGATTAATCTATAAACATTTTGTCTCAACTTTGCTTTATAGAGGTTGATGGAGCATTGGGTATATACATATATAAATAAATAATGGCCAAAAAATGGTCAATATAATAGGGGTATTCAGACCCAACATCTTTATCTGCTAATTCGTTAGTTGATACTTCGTTAAAACACTTTACTGTGAATAAACTTTTTGCTCTATCTCAGTAGTGTGGTAAATTTTGATCCAAAACAGTTGATTACATTTGATTAAATACTTACTTTTGAAAAATTTTTCTAAAATTATTTTGCAGCGAACAGCCAATGTATTTTTTTCCTAATGAACGAAACTGACATTTTAGTAAACAGCTGATTTAATGTTACCGAATAACAAAAAAATAGTCAAGCTTGTCACACTGGTATTTCGTTACTCGGTTATACAACAATCCCTTAATTTTACAAAAACAAAATAAACGTAAAAAACTATAGAATAACGACTAACGAATAAACCAAGCTAGTGTGAATACCCCTAATGTGTTTGTTTCAAACTTTTATATTTAATATCACAAATATTCCTTCTATATCATAATAATTGAGAGAAATTGTTACTTCTTCCGATCTATAAGAATGTAAGTATTTCAGTCAGTATAATCAGTCGTTGACTCGTGGGTTTAGATTTAAGTTACTTTTTGCGATCGTACCCCCTTAATGCAGAGGCCATACCTATTCCTCATTTTGCATTTTGAACAGATTTAGTGATTGTTTATTGCCTTCTTGGGAGTATATGTGTGTGTGTTTAAATAAACGTTTGGAACGGCATTTGTAGTTTTCTACAACTAGTTTTCTCTTTTGCTTTAAACGCTGTACGGTATATTGTTAGTTTTTATTTCATTTTTCGTTTCTATACATGTATATAGTTATTTTATTTAAACACTACACACCAATACCACAACATGTTTGCTACATTATACTACTCATTTCAATGAGCGCTGCTTACCCATACACATGTGTGGTATGTGTATGTGTGTACCATACTTATGTAAATGGGGTTGCCATGAAACAGTGTCGTTATTATCGTTCCCTACACGTGAGCTTTACATGCTTTTTGTTAGTGTTTTGTGTCTTTTCTCTCTTTTATATTCAGCTCACCTCTAAAATTTGGGTGTAGACCAACAAAACAAAAACATGTGAAATAAAAATAAAAACAAGAAACTCTTAGACGCACGTTTCTCAACGAATAAATTCGTTTAAACAAAAGTGGAGGTCGCTTTTAAGCAGTCACAGCTACGAAATGGTAAAGAGAAAACTAAAATAAAACAATGCTTGTGGGCGAAAGCGGTGATGACGGGCAGGTGATTTTAAATGCTACGCAATATGACTACGTAGTGTGTTTAACGGCACATTTTTACAGTTATTTGTGAAGTATTATTTTTGTAATTTAGTGAGCTTTAAAATGCCCAGCCTTCAAAGCAAAATTTTCATACTTCATTTATCTACTTTTAGGCGTTTAACCCTATTGCATACTTGTATTGAATTATCCCAGATTCCTGCTGTTAAATTCCTTTGTATTTTTTTATTTCCCCGCAGCTATAGCTGGCTGGCGTGTCTTTTGGGTTTGTAGCTTTTGATTTATTTTTGATTCGCAAGCAATTTTAATTAAATGCTTTTTCATCTCTCAGGCTTTTTAGTAATTTTTTATTTATTTTCTTATTTGCTTTTGATTTGTAATTCGCATTGTTCTCTCTCACTGAACTCGTTTTTTAGTGCTGTCATGGCCAACTAAAAATAATAGACGAGAAACATAAGTAAGTGTGTGTGTTTTTATTTCTATTTCACTTGATGGTTGCCACAAAGAGTAGTCGCTCGTACAAATGCCTTGTAATGTAACACAAATATACTTACATAGTTTCTGAGTAACATTAGCGCAGAGTTCAAGTCGTGTGGAAATATTGGTGAATGTTTCGAACGGTTTTTAATGATTTTTATATATGAATGGATGGGCAAACATATAAATATATATATTCGACCCTGAAAGTAGGCTTATAGTATGGTATACCTATTCTTGAGATTTCGAGGTATCGCTCTAAAATTACGCGATAATTATACACTTTCCGTAATGGGTCCATTGCTTTCTCTCATCATTAATAATAAATGAGGTTAACTTTAAAGTTGATATTTTGAATATGTAGCAAGGTGAGCAATTAAAGTTATATCGGGAACTCCACAAAGTTTGCGGAGGTGCTGCCCAAGTGTAACACCGTGTCGTGATTGGTTTCAAAGCTTTAAAGACGGCTAAAAGCCAAAAGCAAAAAAATAAAAATACTGAAACCAAGCGAATCCATTAATGGGGAGCGGTATCGACTTCAATTGATGCGATTGATGCGAGCAATGCGCGAAAAGTTGCCTCAATTCTAGGAGAGGCATTAAAAGTTGTTTTCTGCTCGACCACACGTTGCCAAATACGTTAAAACTTATCTGGAAATGTTTAAATGTGAAGTCCTACCACAACTACAATATTCCTCAGATATTGTACCGTCTTATTATTATTTGTTTCGTTCAATGGCATATGGTCTGGCTCAGAAGCAGTTTCACTCACAAGACGACATCGAAAAATGGCTTGATTCTTGGTTAGCGTCACAAGATGAACAGTTTTACTGAAAAAGTTGTAACTAGCGATGGGCAATACTTTGAATAATTCATTTTCTTACAATAAAATTGCATTTTCATAAAAAAAACAGAGAGAACTTATTTATCTGTACGAGATATAAAAAAGTACTTTTTTTTATAGAATTGAGGGTGAATATAAAGCATGGTGTCCGAGATTGAAGAGTCTTGAAGTGTTCACATTAGTATTTGAAAATTTGTTTCTTTTCAATAAAAATATAACAACAATAATAATGCCAATAAGTCTTCTGTCTTGCTCATATCTTCAAGAATTAAATATTTCGTCTCTAACTTCGTACTAAAGGTTCTGGAAAAACTCAACTATATTTTTTGTTGTTGTTTTTTATATGCTCAGTAAATTGTCACAGGTATGCTTACTCCCTTTTTTAGTTGTAGCCGGGTTGCGACGACACTGTCAACTCGCCATGACGGCCTATAGTTGCAGTGAAATCTTGTGTCCGCATACTAAACTGTTTGTTGTCATTATTTTGACACGTAATTTGTACACGATTTCATTACTTTTCTGTTTTGTGCGCGGAAAAATACAAAACTCTTCGAGGCTGCTGCAATCACAAACGTGCATTTTGTGCAAATACATTATTTTATTGTGCACGTTGATGTTATTGTTTTTTGTTCTTGCTTTTTGTCTTTTCGAGGTCATTGTGTCAGCAGCGGCAGCACTAACAACCTGAGCTGGGCACACATCCATACATAACTGCATATATGCACATTTACGAGAGTTGCATGCCTGTGTGCGGGCTTGAGGCAGAAAGCCTTTAACAAGTGATCAACGTGTGCAAATGCGCCGAAAATTTAGATTTGAATTCTTTACTATCGATGACTTTGATCTTAAAGATCATTAAACTAGTGACAAATTACTGAAAACAGGTGTCAAAGACAACTAGACTGGATTTAAAATTCATAAAAAGAATAACGAATTGGTACAACGAAAGTGCGTCTTATTAATCTTCTTCCATCTCTTTTGATGTTTCCTGACCCATAAGAAACACCGTGGGCGGCTACTATCCTACCTTTTAATGTTTAGGAGATGATCTACAAGTATGATGGTGTGAATGTTCGGAGTTGTGATACCTATAATCGAGCTTGACAGTACTCATGTTTGTTAAGCCTGGACAGTAGCGGAACAAGTTAAAAAATATCGAACGGAAAAATATGTCAACATAGGAAAACCTTCTGCTCTGGCGTTTTCAAAGGAGCAAATGTTACAGAAGATATGTTCTACC